CACATGATATTGAGGGGATTGGAACACCTGAATCACATGATTGGAGGGCGGGGACAATATTTTTGGCAATATTTTGTACAATCACATCAGTCCCCGCCCCCCAAGGGGTGTACAATCTAAGGTCCCTAACTCACATTCATACATACACATACTAGGGACAATTTTGACCGATTACATACCAGCATGTCTTTGGAGTGTGGGAGGAAACGGAGTACCCAGAAGAAACCCACACAGGCACAGGGAGAACATGCAAACTCCAGGCAGGTGGTGCGTGGTTGGGAACTGAGGATCCAAGTGCTGCCACGCAGAAGTGTGCTAACCACTTTGCCACTCTGCAACCAACGCATTATCAAAAAAAGGTCCCATTCACAGCAGCATGGTGCGTTCAGACACTTAATGTGCATGATGCGTTACACCAATGTGCGTTGCGTTCACACTTGCGAATGCGCCCGCTTGACAATTACATGCAAGAACCCCAGTGGGGGGGGGGGGTTTAATGCGATTACATGCTAGTGGCCTCACATTGCCGCCCCCCCGGTAGGGTTCTCGCACGTAATCGTTGTGCGGCTGCATTCGCAGGTGCTGACGCACCCTTTAGACAGCCCATAGAACAGGGGGTCTCCAAACTACGGCCCCCCCAGGTGTTGAGGAACTGCAAGTCCCATGAGGCCTTGCAAGACTCTGACAGCCACAGGCAGGACTCCCAAAGGCACGATGGGACTTGTAGTACTCCAACAGCTGGAGGGCCGTAAAAACGGGCTGTTAATGCATCAAATCGTCCAGAAAACCGGACATGCCGCAAAAGTTGTAGCACAGTCGTCCATGGCGCGTTGTCGTGCTTTGCAGCGCGGGAAATGGATGTGTGTTGCCCAAGGGCGGAGTGACAACTCCTGGGGCCCCCGGGCAATAGGGGATCATGGGGCCCCTGTGTCCTTGCCCAAACTAAAAAAAGCCTATGAAAAAGGTACCAGGGGCATCTCATGGGGGCCCTCTACTGACCCCCGGGCCCTCAGGCCCGAGTTTCCAAATAGTCAGTCCACCCCTGGCATTGCCTTGAGCACGGAGTGTTCCCGCAACGCGTCGATGTCAATCTGACCTAAAACTAAAATCTCAACGGCCGTTAGGGTATCATCCAGCAGGGGGCGCTAGTGCACCATCTGTCATTTGGGCCCCTTTTTGCGCCTCCCCACGCCTCCACCCACCATACACCTTGCTGAATCCTCTCCTGTGAGCAAAGACAGCGAAACTTCTGAAATCCTTTGTTCCCCAAATCCCCCAATACATGGGATGTGCTCCACTGACCCGCATTGCTGGACCCGTGGGCAGGGATCGGCACGTCCCCCTCTGTTCTTATGAAACTCTGAGCGCTCGGCAGGGAGAACGGAAGATACTAAAAATGAGGTTATGGTGTCATCAATCCCGAGACGTGGAACGCAAACCGGGACATCGATCCCCATTGTAACCTGTATTGTACGTATATTAATCATCCAATACGGTGCAATCATCCTACACATCTGTAACAGGGAAACAATATTTCCTGAACCCCCTCCCCCACACACACCAATTCATCACCGATCCATCACTAATCCATCACCAGTCCATCACCGATCCATCACCAGTCCATCACCAGTCCATTGCCGATCCATGACCAGTCCATCACCGATCCATCACCGGTCCATCACCGATCCATGACCGGTCCATCACCGATCCATGACCGGTCCATCACCGATCCATCACCGTCCATCACCGACCCATCACCGATCCATCACCGGTCCATCACCGACCCATCACCGATCCATCACCGATCCATGACCGGTCCATCACCGATCCATCACCGGTCCATCACCGATCCATCACCAGTCCATCACCGATCCATCACCGGTCCATCACCGATCCATCACCAGTCCATCACCGATCCATCACCATGATCCATGACCACCGGTCCCGGTCCATCACCGATCTATCACCGGTCCATCACCGGTCCATCACCGGTCCATCACCGATCCATCACCGGTCCATCACCGATCCATCACCAGTCCATCACCGATCCATCACCGATCCATCACCGACCGGTCCACCACCGATCCATCACCCGAGTCCATCACCATCCATCACCGATCCATCACCGGTCCATCACCGACCCATCACACCGATCCATCACCGATCCATCACCGGTCCCATCACCGATCCATCACCGATCCATCCGGTCCATCACCGATCCCATCACACGTCCATCACCGGTCCATCACCGATCCATCACCAGTCCATCACCGATCCATCACTGATCCATCACCGGTCCATCACCAATCCATGACCGGTCCATCACCGATCCATCACCGGTCCATCACTGATCCATCACCAGTCCATCACCAGTCCATCACCGATCCATCACCGGTCCATCCCGATCCATCACCGGTCCATCACCGACCCATCACCGATCCATCACCGATCCATCACCAGTCCATCACCGATCCATCACACCATCACCGTCCATCATCACCGTCCATCACCGATCCATCACCCATCACCGATCCATCACCCGATCCATCCACCAGTCCATCACCGATCCATCACCAGTCCATCACCGATCCATCACCGTCCATCACCAGATCCATCCATCACCGATCACCAGTCCATTCACCGATCCATCACCAGTCCATCACCAGATCCATCACCATCCATCACCAGATCCATCACCAGTCCATCACCGATCCATCACCGAGTCCATCACCGGTCCATCACCAGTCCATCACCAGTCCATCACCAGATCCATCACCGATCCCATCACCGATCACATCCATCCATCACCAGTCCATCACCGATCCATCACCAGTCCATCACCGATCCATCACCAGTCCATCACCAGATCCAGATCCAGAGTCCATCACCGATCACACCAGTCCATCACCAGGGGGAGGGGATCACGATTGTCAGTCCATCACCGATCCATCACCCATCACCGATCCATCACCGATCCATCACCATCCACCGAGTCCATCACCGCCAACACTGGATCCATCACCAGTCCATCACCAGGATCCATCACCCGTAGATCCATGACCAGTCCATCACCGATCCATCACCAGTCCATCACCAGTCCATCACCGAGTCCATCACCGGTCCATCACCGATCCATCACCGATCCATCACCGGTCCATCACCGATCCATCACCGATCCATCACCGATCCATCACCATCCATCACCAGTCCATCACCGATCCATCACCGGGATCCATCCAAAATACAGGACCGTCCCATCACCGATCCATCACCAGTCCATCACCGATCCATCACCGATCCATCATCGATCCATGACCGGTCCATCACCGATCCATGGGGACCGGTCCATCACCGATCCATCACCGATCCCACCATCCATCACCGATCCATCACTGATCCATCACCGGTCCATCACCAGTCCATCACCGATCCATCACCGGTCCATCACCGGTCCATCACTGATCCAGACCATCATCACGATCCATCACCGATCCATCACCGATCCATCACCAGTCCATCACCGATCCATCACCGATCCATCACCGATCCATCACCAGTCCATCACCGATCACCGATCCATCACCACCACCGATCCATCACCGTCCATCACCGATCCATCACGAGTCCATCACCGATCCATCACCGGTCCATCACCGATCCATCACCGGTCCATCACCGATCCATCACCAGTCCATCACCGATCCATCACCATCCATCACCGATCCATCACCGATCCATCACCAGATCCATCACCAGTCCATCACCAGTCCATCACCGATCCATCACCCATCAGTCCATCACCAGTCCATCACCGATCCATCATCAGTCCATCACCGATCCATCACAGTCCATCACCGATCCATCACCAGTCCATCACCGATCCATCACCAGTCCATCACCAGTCCATCACCAGTCCATCACCGATCCATCACCAGTCCATCACCGATCCATCACCCATCACCGATCCATCCATCACCAGTCCATCACCGATCCATCACCAGTCCATCACCGATCCATCACCGATCCATCACCGGTCCATCACCGATCCATCACCAGTCCATCACCGATCCATCACCAGTCCATCACCGATCCACAGCCAACTGGATCCTCATCCAAATTACAGGAGGGGGATGGGAGGGAGCGATGTTCTGCAGATTCTGCAGATCCTAGAGAGGTCAGTGATGGGATAATCTGCAGAATATATCAATATGGATCTGTCAGGAGGGGGAGGGGACGGAGCGATGTTCTGCAGATCTCTAGAGGGGTCAGTGATGGAATAATCGGCGGTGTATATTGTGTGGATTTGGGTCAATGTCAATTTTATGTCATTACATCTCATTTATTGTATTTAATTTTGTTTTAATTTATTGTGTTTGATTGCATTTTATTTTAGTGCATTTTATTCATTTTATTTGATCATATTGTATTGTTTTGTCGTTTATTTTATTTATGTTGCATTTTATTTTTGTAATATTTTATCGTTCTTGTTTTACATATTATATAAATGTATTTTATGTTATTGTTTTATTTTATTGTTATTGCATTTTATTTTTGTAATATTTTATTCTTCTTGTTTCACATATTATATAAATGCATTTTATTTGTTTTCCTATGTCTGGGGGGTATTTTTTTGCCCCCCCCCAGGCACATGAAACTGTCCGCTCACCTGATACCAAGCATGAGGCGGCGGGATGCGGCTGATCGATCGCATTAAATATCACAAGGCCCCTGCAAAGACGACTCACTGCCACTGTGAATGTCGCACCCCAAGGGGTCCCCTGTGATTGGCTGCTGCTGGTGTCAAACGCCCCGCCCCCTCCTCTCCCCTCTGCTATAAGAAGAGCTGGCAGTCAGCTCAGAGCTCAGAATCCCCATTACTCTTCTCCTCGTTGACAACTCCCCATCAACCTTCTTCTCGGTGACAACACCCCATCAACCTTCTTCTCGGTGACAACACCCCATCACACTTCTTCTTCGGGTGACAACACCCGGGATTACAAATGGTTGTTCAAATCCGCACCAGCCAACAGCAGCAAGCCAAGATGACCGAGATTGGCCAGCAGCAGCAGAAAGTGGAAGCCAACATTTTGGTGCTGGGCGCAGAGAACGTGGGCAAATCCGGTGCGTTACCCAAAAAAAAAAAAAAATTATATGAAATTCCAGGGGGGGTATTTATAAAGCAGAGAATGTGACTTTCACCAAACATTCATCGGTGGTGGATCTATCCCTGTCATCTATAACACATATTTCTCGTAATTTATTTATTTATATTATTTATTTATTTTATTATTATTTGTGTCTATTTATTCTATTTTGTTTTATTTTAATCCGTTTTATTTTATAATATTTTATTTGTTTATTTTATTTCAGAGTCATTTGTTTTCTTTTATTGTAAATTTTTTTTAATGTTATCCTTTTTTATTTATTTATTTTTATTTATTTAGTTATTTTTATCTATTTATTCTATTTTGTTTTATTTTAGTCCATTTTATTTGATAATATTTTCATTTGTTTATTTTATTGCAGAGTCATTCGTTTTATTTTATTGTAATTTTTTTTCTTTAATGTGATTCTTTTTTATTTATTTATATTTATTTATTTATTCATTTGTTTTATTATTTTTATTTATTTATTGTATTTTGTTTAAATTTTAATCTACTTTTTACATTTTTACATTATAATATTTTATTTATTTTCACTGTTTTGCCTTTTATTTATTTTATGTAATTACATCTCATTTATTTTATTTTGTTTTATTGTATTTGATGGCGTTTTATTGCTATTGCCTTTTGTTTTAGTTTAGTCCATTTTAGTCATTTTATTTGATCACATTGTGTTGTTTTGCCCTTTATTTTATTGATGTTGTCGCGTTTTATTTTTATAATATTTTATTTGTTTATTTTTCTGTAATTTGTTTTATTTTCTTGTATTTTTATTAATTTGGTCGCATTTTATTTTTATAATATTTTATTTGTTTATTTTATTGTAATTTGTTTTATTTTTTTGTATTTTTATTAATTTGGTCGCATTTTATTTTTATAATATTTTATCGTTCTTGTTTTACATATTATATAATTGTATTTTTTATTTTATTGTTATTTTATTTTATTGTTATTGCATTTTAAAAAGCCAGAAGTCCATCGGGCCCACATGCTCCGCCTATTATTAAAATATATATTTTTGGGTGGACTGATCCTTTAAATTGTAACCAGGGAAACGAAGATGAATATTTTTTGGGGATAAATTGCTGATTCAATGTATTGATGTCGGTCATTTGGAGGGATAAAGAGTGACTGTCAATCAGATTCAAGTTGAGAAAACTTTATTCGTCTCGTTATGATCAACGCGCATTCATTGATCTTACAAACAACAACCTGATTCTGATTGGCTGCAGCACTTTGGGCCCGCCTTCTTAGGTTTCCTAATGTTCTGAATTTTTTTTCATTTTGCGGTCTTCTGAAATCTGAACTTCTACCTTCTTCTTTTCAGCGCTGACCGTTCGATTCCTGACCCGAAGATTCATCGGAGAGTACGTTGGCACCGGTGAGTCCCTCATTTTTTTTTAAAAAACTTGAGAATATTTTTGAACCCGGAAATATTTAAAGGGGGACTACTCATTTCCCTATGGATCCAAACTTTTAATGCTGAAGGTTTTCATTCTATCACCCACTGTGGCCCACCCCCTTCCACTGCATAGAGGTGGACAGGAAGCTGAAGGAGAACCAGGCCAAATTAGTAGAAACATCTCTTTGATGACCAGGGGTGGGCAGAAGGGGCTGCTGCCCCTGGGTGCAATGGTTTACTGTAGGGATGGGGGGCACCTTCCTGTTATGAGGGGAGGATCCCCTAAGGGGGGGGCGCAGTTTGGCATCTTTGCCCTGGATGCTGGATGACCTTGACCATGGCCAGTCTTGCCGTAGAAGATGATGAGGGATGGGTGGAGTCCAAGGCTGAAGATATTTGTAGAGGTGGCTCCTGGGTGCTGGATGGCCTTGACCATGACCAGTCTTGCCGTAGAAGATGATGAGGGATGGGTGGAGTCCAAGGCTGAAGATATTTGTAGAGGTGGCTCCTGGGTGCTGGATGGCCTTGACCATGGCCAGTCTTGCCGTAGAAGATGATGAGGGAAAGGTGGAGTCCAAGGCTGACAATATTTGTAGAGGTGACTCCTGGGTGCCGAAATACGGCCATATGTTGCATGACGTTCCTCAGAATGCCCATGAGGTTCAAAAAATTTGATTTTGATGGATCAAACTATGGATTTTGTCCTGGTGGATCCTCGCTTCTCCTGACAATCGTTTTCTATTGTGTCTTCCAGAGTCCGTCTACACGCACAACATCATGGTGGACGGCCGGGAGACCCTCTTCAGCATCTGGGACTCCGTCTGTCCTCAGGTGAGTCAATGTCTACGTGAAATCCTTCCTTGGGACCCGAAGGAATGGTCACTTAGTAGACCTCTTGGGTTCTTGGATCTCTTAGGAGATCCATTGGTGAAATCCCACCCACCTGAAGTTAGGTGTTTCCACCCACTTTAAAGCTCTACATTCCCACCCACCTTGAAGTTAGGTGTTCCCGCCCACTTTAAAGCTCTACGTTCCCACCCATCCGGAAGTTAGGTGTTCCCGCCCACTTTAAAGCTCTAAGTTCCCACCCACCTTGAAGTTAGGTGTTCCCGCCCACTTTAAAGCTCTACGTTCCCACCCACCTTGAAGTTAGGTGTTCCCGCCCACCCTATCCCACCTTGAAGTTAGGTGTTCCCGCCCACTTTAAAGCTCTACTTTCCCACCCACCTGGAAGTTAGGTGTTCCCGCCCACGTTAAAGCTTACGTTCCCACCCACCTTGAAGTTAGGTGTTCCCGCCCACTTTAAAGCTCTATGTTCCCACCCACCTGGAAGTTAGGTGTTCCCGCCCACGTCAAAGCTCTAGGTTCCCACCCACCTGGAAGTTATGCGAGTTCCCGCCCACTTTGTAGTGTACATGCTCCTTACTGAACGTAGAATGGGTTGAAGCTCTACAAGGAGACTACCTGACCATGTTTATGGTGGGCTGGAGGACAAGTTAAGGGTGGAGCTCTCACCACGCTTGTCAAGTGGTTTAACTCCATCTCCATTTTGGGTGGGGTGGCCCTTTAAGCGACATTTTTGCTGTCGTTGTGATTTATCGATGTGTATTTGAATTTTTTCCTTTTCCATGAAATTGATCGTTGTTTTTGCCTTCCATGAACAGAACCCCAATCTTTCAGACGTGCGTCAGCGAAGAGCAGTTGCGATGGGCCGATGGCTTCATCCTGGTCTACAGCATCTGCGACCGCGACAGCTTCAACGTGGTACGCCAGCAGCTGCAGCGCGTCCGCCAGCTGAAGAAGCGCCAGAGCTCGGCCCCCGTCATCATCGTGGGCAACAAACGGGACCTCCAGCACCGGCGGGAGGTCTCCAGCGAAGAAGGGCGCCTCCTGGCCATCAGCTCCGACTGCGGCTTCTTCGAGATCTCGGCGGCGGAGACCTACCACGGCTCGCTGGTGGTCTTCCACCAGCTTCTGGAGTCCGTACAGGAGAACCGCAGCGCCAGCAAGAAAAACGCCGGCATCAAAGGCATCGTCAGGAGTATGTCCGCCGTGTTCGGGCGCAAGAGGACAGAGTGAGGCCAAGGCTTCTCATCGGCAAAGTCTTGATGGCCATGCAACCTCTTAAGGGTCTAAGATGTCCAGGTGGTAGGCTACCGGCACGGGTTTTTATGGGGTCCGCTGTGCACTGGTGAACTTCTTCAGGAACCTTGACTTGATTCTTCAGACTTTGGCCACCCAGTTGACATTATTGATGCTTCTTCGAGATCTCAGCGGTGGTCTCCTGACTGTTGACTTGGGTGCAGCCATGGTCCCGGACCAGCCTCCAACCGGCTGATGGTTGTTTTTGGCGTCTTGGCCGAAACGGCTCAGTGGACTCCAGATTGTTATGCAATGGACTGAACCATTCTGCAAGCACGGGGGACGGCCGCATGCTGGAGACCCCACCGGACGGCCTGTTCCCACAATGCAATGGGGCAGGACAATGACTCTTCTTAAGGGCTAGTCCTTCAAATGTTCATCTGCCTGCCGACTTTTTTTGTGCTGCGTGGTGTCTGATGTGGCTTCATTCCTCGTTGGGGGTTCAAGGGCCCCAAAAGAGAGGGCAGAGAATTGTTCACTGTTGGTTCCGGAGTGTTCTTTGCACTACACGGGGGGAACCGAGTGTTCCAACCAGCCTTCCTGTACTACTCCCGGAGCAGCAATGAATACATTCATCTACCAATCCCGCCATGTAGGGGGTCACCCTGGACCAATCCATGCAAAGTTGACCACGTTCATTCAATTTTTACAGCCAATTGGAGCACAACACCTGTGTGCAAAACCTCTGATGGAAGCTGTTTTTTCAACCTCCCCTGCGAAAACCACCAGATCCCAAGCTGTGAAGCTGAACCTATTCGGTTGACAGCGCCACCTTGGAGCTGGTAGGCGGGGTGCAGCTTCCACCTGAGGCTTTTCACACAGGCATCTCGCCTTCAAAGTCAAGCCAAAACGTTTATAGCTTTGGATTAGAAGACACGTCAGGTTTTATACCGCTCTATTAGGGAGATCTATCCTCATTTCCTGTCCCGGTGACAACGCTTTCAGCAGACAGGAAGTGAGGGAACATCTCCGACAGCAACACAGTCAGAGATAAAAGGGCTGAATTAGTTGAGAAGGGGATGGCTAGAACCCCTGTCGGGTTTTTACTGCCATCAGAAGCTCTAATAGAGAGATTTATCCTGATTTCCTGTCCCGGTGACAACGCTTTCACCAGGCAGGAAGTGAGGAAAAATCCCCTACAGCAACACAGAAATAAAAGGGTTGTATTATTGAATAGGGGGAGTCTAGAACCCTTATGGGGGTTTTATTGCAGCGTCTGTTGGAGATTTTCCTTCACTTCCTGTCTGCTGAAAGCGTTGTCACAGGAGAGGAAGTGAGGGAAAATCTCTAAAGGGGCTCCCAAAAACAGAACTGGAAGGAAAGGTTTTGACTGGAGTCACACTTCTAATACAAGAAAGCTGTTCCTTCCTGATTGAAAGGGGAAGACATTGTGCAGCGCACAATCAGTGTCACGTTAGTAAATGTAGTAGAGATACATTTCCTAGAAACTTTATCGATACATTTGTTTCCTTTATAGATACATTTGTATCTAGAAACTTATCATATTTTGTTTCCTTCTGGAACTTTATCGATACATTTGTTTCCTAGAAACATTATCATACATTTGTTTTCTGGAATCAATACTTTAGAAACTTTATCGATACATTTGTTCTAGAAACTTTATCGATACATTTTTTCCTAGAAACTTTATCAATACTGGGAACTTTATCGATACATTTGTTTTCTAGAAACCTTATAGATTTTATTTGTACCCTAGAAACTTTATCGATACATTTGTTTTCTAGAAACTTTATCAATACATTTTGGCAGAAACTTTATCGATACATTTGTTTTCTAAAATACATTTGTTTTCTGGGAACTTTATCGATCATTTGTTTCCTAGAAACTTTATCGATACATTTGTTTTCCTAGAAACTTTATCAATACATTTGTTTATGCTAGAAACTTTATACATTTGTTTCCTAGAAACTTTACGATATTTGTTTTCTGGGAACTTTATCTAGAAACTTTAAAACGATACATTTTTTTTCTAGAAACTTTATCGATACATTTGTTTCCGATGGGCACTTTGTTTTCAAAAACTTTACATTTGTTTGTATCCTAGAAACTTTATCGATACATTTGTTTCCTAGAAACTTTATCGATACATTTGTTTTCTGGGAACTTTATTTTTCCTAGAAACTTTCCCTAGAAACTTTATCGATACATCCTTGGCACTTTTATCGATACATTTGTTTTCTAAAAACTTTATAGATTCATTTGTATCCTAGAAACTTTATCGATACATTTGTTTCCTGGGCACTTTATTGGTACATTTGTTTTTATCCCCTTACACCTATACTGGTGAATGTCAACGACTCTCTTTAACAAGGCCGCTATGCGGGTATCTAAATCGGCCCGGGGTTTACCATTGCCCAAATTTCCCACTGCCTAAAGGCTACTTACTATTTTTTTATCTTTAGGTCAGTGGTCTCCAAACTGTGGCCCCAGGGGCCAGATGTGGCCCTTTGCCTGCCTTTATCCAGCCTTGGCGCACTATTCCTCCCTCTAAAACAGGGGTGTCAATCTGGCGGCCCTCCAGCTGTTTCAAAACTACAAGTCCCATCATGCCTCTGCCTTTGGGAGTCACGCTTGTAACTGTCAACCTTGCAATGCCTCATGGGACTTGTAGTTCTGCAAAAACTGCAGGGTCGCCAGTTTGACACCTCTGCAAAAACCACCAATGGGCCAGCGATGCATTTTTTACTACTCCTCCCGCTGACCACGGTCCGGCCCCCCTAAAGCCTGAAGGACATTAAACCGACCAGGGGTGGACTGACCATTTGGAAACTCAGGCACTGCCCGAGGGCCCGGGGTCAGTAGGGGGCCCCATGAGATGCCCCTGGTACCTTTTTCATAGGCTTTTTTGAGTTGGGGCCCCATGATCCCCTATTGCCCGGGGCCCCATGAGTTGTCAGTCCGCCCCTGAAACCGACCCTTTGTTTGGAAAGTTTGGAGACCCCTGATTTAGGTGATGGGTTAACTGGGGGGGGAGATTTTTTGGTATCTAATCAAGTCAACCTATTCATCAGATCAGTTGCTTTGAAGGCGAGGCACCTGTGCGAAAAGCCTCAGCTGGAAGCTCTAAATGTTTCAAGGTCGTGAGGTCACCTGATGGTAATGGCTGCAGGAAAGGGCAGAGAAAAAGCAGCTTCTGTCTGAGGTTTTGCGCGCAGGTCTGATTGGCAGTAAAAAGAAAATGCGCATGTGTATATATTATATAGATATATATTACATAGCATCCTACAAATACCGAGTCATTTATTCGTCATCTCATTGATCCAATCAGTGTGCGGCGTATGAGTCGTACCATTCATCTGATGTCGATGGCAGTCGTGATCTGTGCATGCGTGGGTCTGATCACTCTTCACATATACAGGTATCACTGGATTGTCACATTATTATCAGCGGTTTTGTTAACATTGTATCAAAATGTGTCACCGAGGAAAGCAGATGGAATCCTTGCGTCCTGTGCGTCTGATTGTGGGCGGGGCAGTGACACCATGTGACTGTACAGAGCTCCTTGTACATAATGTATATATACTGCACATACACAGAGGGGTTTATTACATTCTGATGCAGCCGGGGAATCTGTTTACATGGAGGGAGACGTATTTATTTTATAATGTATTTTTGAAAGTCATATATTTTTTTTTTCTGAATAAAAATAAATAATAATCAAAATGATCAATATCCGGATTTTGTGTTTGTGGTTTCTTAAAGTTGAGCTCCGGCTCCTCCCCTTCATTCTTGCACAGGTGTACCGGCTCCTCCCCTTAATTCCTGCACAGGTGTATCGGCTCCTCCCCTTCATCTTGCACAGGTGTACCGGCTCCTCCCCTTCAGTCTTGCACAGGTGTACCGGCTCCTCCCCTTCAGTCTTGCACAGGTGTACCGGCTCCTCCCCTTCAGTCTTGCACAGGTGTACCGGCTCCTCCCCTTCAGTCTTGCACAGGTGTACCGGCTCCTCCCCTTCATCTTGCACAGGTGTACCGGCTCCTCCCCTTCAGTCTTGCACAGGTGTACCGGCTCCTCCCCTTCAGTCTTGCACAGGTGTACCGGCTCCTCCCCTTCAGTCTTGCACAGGTGTGCCGGCTCCTCCCCTGGACTGCACGGTTCCTCTGATGTCTTGCACACTGGGAGCTTCTCAGTGCATTAGAAGCTGCAGCCAGTCAGATAGAGCTCCATCATTTCCTGGGCTGGAGGACATCCAGCATCATCTAGGTCAGTGATGGCGAACCTTTTTGAGCCCGAGTGCCCAAACTCAACCCCCAACTTATTTCTTGCAAAGTGCCACACTGCAATCCTCCCCTTAATCGAGCTTTTGCACAGAAAAAAACAACTGTACAGTAGTGCAAACAGTACAGGAGATGACCAGAGACTGCGGACACAGTACAGGAGATGACCAGAGACTGCGGACACAGTACAGGAGATGACCAGAGACTGCAGACATAGTACAGGAGATGACCAGGACTGCTCCCATAGTACAGGAGATGACACAGACTGCGGACACAGTACAGGAGATGACCAGAGACTGCGGACATAGTACAGGAGATGACCAGAGACTCGGACATAGTACAGGGGATGACCAGAGACTGCAGACATACTACAGGAGATGACCAGAGACTGCAGACATAGCACAGGGATGACCAGAGACTGCAGACATAGCACAGGGATGACCAGAGACTGCAGGACATAGCACAGGGATGACCAGAGACTGCAGACACAGTACAGGGATGACCAGAGACTGCGGGACACAGTCCCCTGACCAGAGACTGCGGACAGCACAGGGATGACCGAGACTCCTCCCCTACAGTCTTGACCACAGGTGCAGACACAGTACAGGAGATGACGAGAGATGACTCGGACCCAGGAGATGACAGAGACTGCGGACACAGTACAGGAGATGACCAGAGACTGCGGACAGCACAGGGATGACCAGAGACTGCGGACACAGTACAGGAGGATGACCAGAGACTGCGGACAGTACAGGAGATGACCAGAAACTGCGGACACAGTACAGGAGATGACCAGAGACTGCGGACAGTACAGGAGATGACCAGAGACTGCAGACACAGTACAGGAGATGACCAGAGACTGCAGACACAGTACAGGGATGACCAGAGACTGCAGTCAGTACAGGAGATGACCAGAGGTGTACTGCAGTCAGTACAGGAGATGACCAGAGACTGCGGACACAGTACAGGAGATGACCAGAGACTGCGGACACAGTACAGGAGATGGTCAGAGACTGCAGACATAGTACAGGAGATGACCAGAGACTGCGGACACAGTACAGGAGATGACCAAAGACTGCGGACACAGTACAGGGATGACCAGGACTGCAGACACAGTACAGGGATGACCAGAGACTGCAGACACAGTACAGGGATGACCAGAGACTGCAGACACAGTACAGGGATGACCAGAGACTGCGGACACAGTACAGGGATGACCAGAGACTGCAGACATAGTACAGGAGATGACCAGAGACTGTGGACACAGGGGATGTACCAGAGACTGCGGACACTGTACAGGAGATGACCAGAGACTGCGGACACAGTACAGGGATGACCAGAGACTGCGGACATAGTACAGGAGATGACCAGAGACTGCAGACACAGTACAGGGATGACCAGAGACTGCGGACATAGTACAGGAGATGACCAGAGACTGCAGACACAGTACAGGGGATGACCAGAGACTGCGGACACTGTACCCAGAGACTGCAGACATAGTACAGGAGATGACCAGAGACTGCGGACAGTACAGGAGATGACCAGAGACTGCAGACATTACAGGAGATGACCAGAGACTGCAGACATAGTACAGGAGATGACCAGAGACTGCAGACATAGTACAGGAGATGACCAGAGACTGGGGACATAGTACAGGAGATGACCAGAGACTGCAGACATAGTACAGGAGATGACCAGAGACTGCAGACATAGTACAGGAGATGACCAGAGCTGCGGACAGTCAGGAGCCAGAGACTGCAGACACAGTACAGGGATGACCAGAGACTGCGGACAGCACAGGGATGACTGCTGACCTTTGGGGAGGTGGGGGGGGAGCGGGTACCTGAATTTGACAGGTACCCGCTCTTACTTCCGCAGAGTTTTTTTTTTTAATCTTACCTTTATCCAGCCGCGTGTTGTCTTCCCGGCTTCTGTAATGGCGCTCGTCGGACAGCCGGATGCCCAGTGCACATGCGCGAGAAGCGCTGCGCTTTGTGATTGGTCCCGGCTTCTGGGATCTGTCATGTGTCCCTGTACCCCGCCTTACCATTCACAAAGAGCACTAATCTTGTGCATGCGCCTCCCGGCTGTCATTTCCTGCGCTGCCGCTGATTCTCCCGGCGTGCCCACAGATAAGGCTCGGCGTGCCACGGGTTCGCCATCACTGATCTAGGTCTTTCCTCCCCCGCCTGACCATCCCTGGCCCCGCCCCTTTCAATAATTTAGCGCACCGCCTCATTTCCTGGCTTGAAGACACCCGGCATCATCTAGGCCTTTCCTCCCCCACCTGACTGTCCCTGGCCCCACCCCTTTCAATATTTAGAGCTTCGCCTTATTTCTTGGCTGGGTGACATCCAGCATCCTCTAGCCCTTTCCTCCCCAGCCTGACCGTCCCTGGTCCCCTTTCATTCATTGGATTTAAGTTTTGTCAATGGAGGTTCGGCATCACCTCTGCCACCTGCCTAGTAACGCCCACTTTCTCCAGACGGACACCCACTCAATCAAGGCAATTTGATATTTGCATAGCTCCTCCCAGTGCTTGCACCAGGGCTGAGGGCTCTTGAGTACTGAGGAAGGGGGCTGTGATGTTTTCAGGAAGCTATGCACTGGCTCCTCCCACCAGTCACGATCTGCCTGCATTGCATAGAGAAGCACAGAGACACAGTGATGACATCACCAAGTGTACAATAAAGTTTGTACTGAAAATGGAAAGGTTTTATTCTAAAATGTCATCAGCATGTTGATGGGGGAGGGGGGAGGGGGGGCAGGGAGGCAAAAGCAGATTAAACTTCAGAGTCAACAATTATACATATCAGATATAAAGAGAGAAAACTCTTCAGTATGAAGATTGAAGGTTTATACCAGGGGTCTCCAAACTTTCTAAACAAAGGGAGGAATTGTGCTTCATCATTGGTGTCATAGGGCTCCATTGCTGGTGTCATTGGGAGAAATTGTGTCCCAACGTTGGTGTCATTTGGAGGAATTGTTCCCCATCGTTGGTGTCATTGGGATGAATGGTACCCCATCATTGATGTCATAGGGCCCCATTGTTGGCATCATTGTGAGAAATTGTGCCCCAATGTTGGTGTCATTTGGAGGAATTGTGCCTTATCGTTGGTGTCATAGGGCTCCATTGTTGGTGTCATTGAGAGAAATATTGTCCCATCCTTGATGTCATTGGGAGGAATTATGCCTAATCATTGGTGTCATAGGGCCCATTGTTGGTGTCATTGTGAGAAATTGTGCCCCAATGTTGGTGTCATTTGGAGGAATTGTGCCCAATCATTGATGTGTCATAGGGCCCCATTGTTGGCATCATTGTGAGAAATTGTGCCCCAATATTGGTGTCATTTGGAGGAATTGTGCCCAATCATTGGTGTCATAGGGCCCCATTGTTGGTGTCATTGGGAGAAATTGTGTCCCAACATTGGTGTCATTTGGAGGAATTGTGCCTTATCGTTGGTGTCATAGGACCCCATTGTTGGTGTCATTGGGAGAAATTGTGTCCCCAGGTGTCCATTTGGAGGAATTGTGCCCCATCGTTGGTGTCATTGGACCCCATTGTTTGGTGTCATTGGGAGAATAGTGTCCCATGCCTTGATGTCATTGGGAGGAATTATGCCTAATCATTGGTGTCATAGGGCCACATTGTTGGTGTCATTGGGAGAAGTAGGGCCCCAAGGGCCGGATAAAAGCAAGTAAAGGGCCACATCTGGCCCCCCAGGCCCCAGTTTGGAGACCACTGGTTTAGAGAGTAAAGACTTAGGGATAGAACACGTTGTCGACCACGTCCTCCTGAATTTGGCTCGAGGAGAAGGAACTATCAAAACTCTGGCGTCTCCTCTCTTGGGATTGGACTTTCCCCTGGTCCGTACCGGGATCCAGGCGCCATCCATCGGGGGTGACCTGGAAGACGATGTCTTGCTGAAGGCTGGAGCGAGACTTCCCCGGGGATCGGCCCGGCCTGGTCGCAGCTTCTGCCTTCTTCTTCCTTCCGGGCTCTCCAGATCGCCTCTTCTTCAGGAGCGGCTTGGGGGAGCACCGCCCACAGCACTGCCTGAACGCAACGCCTCACCTGCAAGGAAGACGCAACATATTAGAGTCAGACTCCGGGCAACGCTGTGCCATCGATCGGAAACGCCGATCAACCACGAACCCGAACCTAAAAACACCAGAACATATTTTCGAGTACACATCTACCACAGTATAACAGTGATGGTGTCACCCTCTCCTCTAATTAACTGCTACCTTGCAGTATGGTGGTGGTGCAGTCACCCTCTCTGCTCCATGAGGAAGTCATGAGATTATGACGAACGTGTCGGGGCGGGAACCAGCGACGTCATTGCGCAATCAGAAGTGACGTCATCCTTTGGTATACTGCGTGAAGCCGATGCTTCAGGAATTGTGAGATGTGAGATTCCTGCCGTGTGCCTTGCTGGAGTGTTGGAGGTTCGCATAGGCATGAATCGAAATTCGGACACGTTTTTCGGAAATTCGGATGTATCAGAATTTCCCAATTACAACAGTAACAAATCCGAAATAATAAAAAACAAATTCGAATGAAAAGAATATAACAGAACATAATTAAAATACAACTGAAAAAAATGAATAGAATAGAAAGAATATAACTGTCTTATGAAATTCGAAGTTCAAATATAATAAATTCGAATTTGAATAGAATAGATTAGAATAGAGGGAATTGCTTAAAAAAAATTTAAGTTTGTTTGTTTTTTCTTTCTTGGAATTCGACCTATGTTGTACCGATTTGTTGTGAGTCACAGCGGACTGGCCATTTGGAAACTCGGGCACTGCCCGAGGGCCCGGGGTCAGTAGGGGGCCCCATGAGAT